ATAAAGAAATTTTTCTAAAATTTTGTTAATTTTGGGTATTTGTTTTTATTTCAGGAGGTTATTTCCTCAACTTGAAATTATTGATCAAGTCTAGCTCAAGTTGCAGCTGTAGAGTATGTTCTAATCATCCTGTGATAACAAGATTTAATTTTGAATTTAATGTGGACCCGTGTTTGTTGGAAGGTGTTCAAGGTCATCGTAAGACCTTTAGAGGACCTATTTTGCATTACTCTTTAGTGGTTAAGATCAATATGATTGTAGTTGTTTATATCTTCATTTTGCTTTTTGGTTGGAGTTTTGCGTTAATGTAAAATATGTTTTGCAGGGGAAAAAAGGGTTCTCAACTCTGAACTTTGGCATGCATGTGCTGGACCTCTTGTTTCTCTACCTCCTGTTGGAAGTAGGGTTGTTTATTTCTCACAGGGTCATAGTGAACAAGTTAGTTTTTTTTGGAATTTGAGGTTAGCTAGTTTGGTAAATAATTGATTTTGAAGCACATTTTGTTTATTGTAGATGGTATGTGTATCAACTTTGAATTTTATATGAAGAATGAATTTTGAATATCTTTTCATTTTCTATGGTGATGAATTTTATATGAATTTTATATGAAGAATGTCTCTTTTTAGTATCCAATGCCATATTGCCTTGTTAAATTTTTAAAAATAATTAACTCGGGCAGCGATGGATTGTGCTGCCTTAATTGATACTTACTCGGATCTTTGACTGAGATGAGTTTGTCCTTTGCGTTGCCCTTCTCATTGCTCATGTATTATATTTACTATTGCTTTTTCTGAAATTTTATGATTGAGCTAGATGGTAACATACTGACATAACTAACAGCTAGGAAGTTAATACAAAAAAGGGGTTTTATGGAACTTGAAAGATAAAGCAGTGAAATAGGTGATAGTTTTATTTGGCGTCTTGGCGGGGACTCTGAATACTTGCGGGGACCTATTATTCCCCGCGGGGATGGGGACGGAGGCAATTTTTGACCCTTCGCCAAAAATCCCCGCTGGGATCCCCGTACCCGCCATTGGCGGGGATGGGGAGGGGGTCCCCGCCCCCGTGGGGACCCGTTGCCATCCTTAGTCGGGGTTGTTTGGCAGCTCGGAATCAAAGGCAAAGGACTCCATGGGGTGATTCAAGGTTGTTACCGCGGTTATGGTGGCAGAGTCCATATTTGTGATTTGATGAAACGATTCTCTGTTTTAGAGGAGGATATGTGTTTTAGAGGAGGATGTGTAGAAACATGCATGGAGGGAGAAATGAGGGTGAAGAAGAGAGAAACATAAAGGGGGGTAAGATATATACCACCGTCTGTATTAGGATCCAATATTTCAGCGGTAATCAGTGCTTTGATGGCTATTTTTTTTCCCTTCCAAACTGCCGAAGCAAGTCTCTGATCTTACTACTGGCAGACACTAGCCTCATGTTGGGAATTTCGAGCACCACAATCTCACACAAATGGAAACAATAAAGAAATTGAGACAATAATTTAACGTGATTCGACTTGTACACCTCTCAATAAGTCTACGTCCACGGGAAATAGAGAAATAAATCCATTATTAAGAAAAAAGAGTACAATAATTTGAAAGTTCTCTCATTTAAGAAGCTCTGAACCCCTAGTTTTAATCTATAGAAGCTCCCAAATTCTCCCTAATACTCTCTCTTAATCTACACAAGGATTTCTCACAATTTCTCTCTTTCTTTTCTCTCACAAGAGCTCTCCCTCAATTTCTCTTGCTTTCTCCTACTCTTGCTTGCCCATTGCCTTTGCATGCATGGGTATTTATAGTGAAAAATCCAACTATCCATGCACCATTTTTCTTTGCCTCATTACCACCCGGCCAAGATTTTCTTTGCCCATTAAATGGGTCAACATGCAATCTTTGAAAGATTTCAACAAATCAATCTAACCCACAATTGGCTTATAGGCCGGTGAAGCAAACTTCCACATGGAAAGTCCATGTCTTCACATGTATGGGATTGGACTTTCTTCCAACAATCTCCCCCTCCAACCCCATGGGAGGAGAAACCAACCATGACTCAAGCTCCCTCTGCTCAAGAGCACTTTATCATGGTGTTCTATTTTTGAAAGTTTCCTCCTAGTATAGGATAAGACAAACCTACACTAGGTGTACTATGGAAATTAATTTTGAACCAAAATATGATTCGAGAGAAAATCACACCTCCTCGAACCATCATCAAATACCACTTCATTATTGAAGCTCACTTTCTTCTTGGTCTTATTAATTTCCTTGCCATCTACCAAGATCCCTTTAGGCTTCCAAACCATCTTCCTCATGATCTTGTTAAGCCTTCGCTCGGGATGTTGCTCAAGCACATAGATGTTGTGCTTGTTCTTCCTTCCACGCAGAACAAGTCTCCCACCTTTGTAGACCTTGCACCATTCTCGCTTTCCAACATACTTGCACCCTCATGTTATCAACTCACTCAAAGCAATAATATTGCTTGAACAATTGGGCACATATCTTACATTCTTGAGAATCTTGGCTCTCCCATTGTGAACATTGAGACGAACATCTCCTATGCCTTCAATATTCACCTTCTCACCGGTAGCCACCGTTATTTTGCCAAACTCCACCCAAACCAAACTCCCAAATTCCGAAGGATTTTTGCACACATGCATGGTTGCAGCAGAGTCCAAAATCCACCTTTGATTGTTTTGCTCCACCTCAGGATCACACTCTTCACAAGCTAATACTTCAACCACATTCTCTTCAACAATATTAACCTCCCCCTTGCCCTTGGTTTCTTGACTTTTCATCAATATTTTCATATTAGAAGAATCCTCCTTAAACTTCGGGCATTTATACTGTTTGTGACCCAACTCACCACAATAAAAACACTGCACTTCACCATAATCCTTCTTAGGTCTGGATTTCGACCTTTCTTGATTTCCTCCACCTCCACGTCCATTGGATCTTCCCCGAGAGTGCTCCATCACCAAAGCATTAGTTTGATTGGCACCATCATCCTCCCCAAGAAACTTATCATTCTCCAACAATATGGATGTGACATCTTTCATCACCAAAATAGTCTTACCCACTAGCATACTCTGCACTAGCGACTTGTAAGACTTTGGCAAGGATGCAAGTAAAAGCAAGGTCTTCTCCTCTTTTTCTAGAATGTCCCCGACATTCACTACTTGTGTCATCATCATGTTGAAATCAGATAAGTGCTTATGAATATTTGTGCCTTCTGCCATCTTCAATTGATATAGCTTCATCTTTAAACACAGCCGATTGGTTAAAGATTTTGAAGCATATATCTCTTCAAGCTTCTTGCACATGCCTATTGGAGTAGTCTCTGAAAGGACGTTGTATTTCACCTCCGGTGCAAACGCCAGTCGAATTTGACTTGCTGCCTTCTTTTGGATAGTACTCAAATCACTATCCTTCATCTCAGCCGGCTTGGTCTCTTCTAAAGCTGCATCAAGTCCTTGACAAGTAAGGACATCCTTCACAATGCTTTGCCATGGAGCAAAGTCATTCTTGCCATCAAATAGCTCAATTGAATACTTCATGGCTTCAGTTTGCATTTTGCCACAACACCAAGAGCTCTACCAATAGCTCTGATACCACTTGTTGGGAATTTTGAGCACCACAATCCCACACAAATAGAAGCGATAAAGAAATTGAGACAATAATTAAACGTGGTTCGACTTGTACACCTCTCAACAAGTCTACGTCTACGGGAAAGAGAGAAATAAATCCACTATTAAGAAAAAAGAATACAATAATTTGGAAGTTCTTTCACTTAAGAAGCTCTCAACCCCTAGCTTCAATCTATAGAAGCTCCCAAATTCTCCCTAATACTCTCT